CTCCTCTCCTCTCCTCTCCTCTCCTCTCCTCTCCTCTCCATTTGTCACCTTATCTGCTCTCTGTTCTCACCACATTACAGGTCCATGGGAGATGTATCTGCCACCATAACACTGAAGGTTTCTCTTGTGAAAGATGTAAAGATTTCTACCATGATGCTCCCTGGAGGCCAGCTGAAGGGACACAAGATAATGCTTGCAAACGTAACTCAAACGTGATATCTTCCTTTTTAATAACCAGGAGTGGGTGTGGCACAATCCTAGTACAATCCATAATGGGATGGCCAAGTTTCTGGGAGGGAGACTTTTCCATGCCTCATACAGAAAAACAGATTCCTGCATCCACAGATGCTGTGTTATCCTGCAAGAGAAAGAGCTGTTTCATGTTCTTATTCTTCATACAGAAAAAAAAAACCAAAACAAAACAACAAAGAGGAGAAAAAGCAGCTAATGCAAAAAAGATAATTCATTGGTTTGCACAGTGTTTTTCATGTGAGTGAAAGAATTTAGAAAAGGCTAAATTATTCATTTCTACAATAATGCGTAATGCAGTATACACAAGAATAATATATTAGGATCTGTAACAAATATTCAGCTAGAGATTTTTTCAGCAGAGCAGTGTTCCCCACTGCATATCAGGCACACTCACCTACATTTCCAAGGTTAGGATACAGTTCTGTCTGAAAACTCCAATTTTTTTCCCCCAGCTGTAACACACAAGGCCTGGGAATAATCTTGCTGGGCACTGGAATCATACAAGTAACCAGTAACCCTGTGTAAAGTGTAGACAGCAATGTGGCCAGAGCACAGCATTTGCATGGTGTGAAACACCCCCTGTTTGCTTTGGTTTCAGGTTGTAACTGCAACAGCCACTCCAGCAGGTGCCACTTTGACATGGCTGTGTACCAGGCCAGCGGTGGGGTCAGCGGTGGCGTTTGTGAGGACTGCCAGGACAACACCACCGGCCAGCACTGCGACACCTGCAAACCTTCCTTCTACCAGGACCCACTCAAAGCCATCTCAGACCCTCGGCCGTGCCTCCGTAAGCCTCCCTTTTAGCTGCTGTATGGGTGACTCAAACCAGGCTGCTCTGTTAGTGCTCAGGAACTCATAATCACAGAATGATTGTATGCAGCTGCTTTTATTGAAGAGCTCTGGGTGTCAGGTACAGACCCAAATCTGACCTGACATGGGTTTGGGATGAACACGTTTTTATTCCCTTATCATTATATAACTACATATTAATTATTAAATTTATAATGTTCTATTGTATACATTGATTTCATCCAAGCATGGATTCTTGTAATTTCCATCAAACGCTCCAAACATAATTTCTCATCATTCTTGTTACAATTAAACAATAATTATATCCAATTACCAAACAATCATTGCATTTAACAATAATATAATTTATCATATAACAATCATATAATTTATCATAGTCATTTAATGATTATACAGGTGCAGTTTCGCATGATCCAGTAAAGCCTAACATTTTCCCAGAGTCTACCAGGCCCAACCTTTCTTTCCAACTCCTCTGAATATCCCATGATTTTAGAAACATTTTATCCCTGTACTATCAGTTCTGGTTCCCTTTACTCTGAGCCCTATGGCCATACCCATGCTTAAATGTCCACATGGATGTAAAAATGTTACCAAACCTATAATATCCAAACTGCCCTACTAAGCTGCTGCATGACAGTATCCTCCAACCAGCATTGTGAAAAGAGCTGCATATTCCAACTCCTTGCTAAACAGAGCTTAGAAATCCAGCAAAGCTATCATTTTCTTGAGCAAGGTCAATATAAATATGAATAGCAGTAGTGATGTTGCTTCAGTGATTACAGAAGAGGCTCCAAAATGATGGGAGGAGTAAATAACTTTTGCTAGATACCTGCTATATGCAAGAAAAATAATCTTTCAGACATGAAAGCTCTTCTTCTGAAAGATGACCTAAATTCATTATTAACGTAGAATGGAGAAAACGCTCCGAGTATTATTTAATTGCAGCAATTGACTGGCATGAAAAGTCCTTAAGGAGGCAAGGGCAGATCACCAGCAGCTCTGTAATTGCATTTTCACACTTACATCTACCGGTGCTGTTTTTGTGTGTGTCCTGGCCCTGCGAGCAGCATGCAGCTGTGACCCCGCGGGGACCCTGCCCGGGGCCGTGTGCGAGAGCCGCACGGAGCCCGCGCTGGGCACGGTGGCGGGGCGCTGCCCCTGCAAGGACAACGTGGAGGGCGCTCGCTGCGACAAGTGCAAGGCAAACTACTACGGGCTGAGCAGCAGCGACCCCCTGGGCTGCCAGCGTAAGTAAAACATCCCTGCTAGTCTCCTTTCCAAAGCCTTTTTGGGGCAGGGAGGTAGTTGAACGCACAGATCCACACACTAATGCTCTACTTGAGTCACAAATACCCAATTGCCTACTGTAATTTAATGTCAACAAAATTCAAGGTTTCTGGTGCAGCGTCCAAGACTGAAAAAATGCAAAATCACTTTCAGAATCCATAGTATCTGTTATTTTAATAGTATATGCATAGTATCTGTTATATTAATAACAGATTAGGCTATTGTTAATAGAAGGGTTATTAAATGTGCAACTTAATTGAAAAGGGATATTGAGATGACAGGAGGTGCTGCCTTGCCAAAAGAACTTCCAGCCAACCATTCCCCTGAGAAAGGCTTGATGAAAGCACATCCCACCCCTGCCCAGGTGCACTGTGGGTTTGTGAGCACGTTATGCCAGCGCAAGGTGCTCAGCCACACACAAGGACTGCAGTGCAGATCAGCCCACAGCCCTTGGCAAAACACTGCTGAGGCCTTCTGCCAATGCCTCTGCTCCCCCCAGAGAGGCACCCACCGAGGAAATTGTCCATTTCCAAGGGTAGTCTGGAGGGTGCAGGGGCACATTCGGAGTGTCTGTGTGGGGAATGGAGACTGCCTGTCTTGCTGATGTCACATCTAATGAAAATGCCAGTCCTGGCTGTCACTGGGCCCTGCAGAGGTAACTGCACTTTTCTGTCCCTGCAGCCTGCAACTGTGATCCCTTGGGCACTTTGCCCTTCTCCGTCTGTGATCCTGCCACGGGAGAGTGCCTCTGCCAGAGGTTCACCACAGGGCAGCGCTGTGAAAGATGCCTTGTATGTACTCAGTTTTTGGTTTTGCTGCTGCATGTGGTTGTAGAAGTCTCCTCACCCATCTCACACCTTTTTATTGCCAGAAAAGTAAACAATCAGTTAAAATTCAAAATCATTTTATAGCTGTATGCTTCCAATTTGCATTGACACATCTGTTTTTCTTTCACTGCTCCCAAATATTTGTGCAATTAAATTGCAGAGGGAGGAGCACTCCCAGAAAGGAAATACAAAATTATGTCCTTGATCCATCTTAGCTGTTTACAGAGCAATTTGCTAGTAGAAGTGGGTAAATATCTGGCTCTTGCAGTGGCTGAGCACCCCTGCTATCCAGTAAGAGGAACAATCTCCCATGGCCAAGCACAGTAGTGCTCCATTGTTCATCCAGCAGAACGAGTTTTGTTTTGCTTTGCATACTTAAACATTTGCCATAAAAGAACCTTTCTTTTTATACCAGGCAGGATACTGGGGTCTTGGCAACAGCTTGTATGGCTGTTCTCCATGTGACTGTGATATTGGTGGATCACAGAATAACTTGTAAGTTAAAGTTCTTCAAGTTCTTTCTTGGGTTTAATATTTATAAACTCTTAGGCTAGACTTTCTGGTTAGGTTAATACAATCACAGTACAGATAGGAATATAGAATGTAGATGGAATTTCATAATTTACAAACAGTGTAAATTTGGGTGGGGATCTTGGAAATTTATTTGTGGTAAGGGGATTTACCTATTTCATTTGAAGCCAACCTTAAATCTGGTTGAGCTTAGATGTGTTTAATATGAAATATAAAACATATGCCTTGAGAGAACCAGAAGCCCTAATATTATTAGAAATTAGAAGTCAGAGGTGAGATTTTTAACTTAGCTTCTTACCTTAATTGCTATGTATTTTTTTTCTGGGTCCTGTTTAAAATGTATAATTTTAGAAGAAAGGTTGGTTTAATTTGGGCTCCTCCAAAAATCTGTTGGGCAGGGGTCTTCACTACTGCTGTTAGGCTTCAGACAGGGGAGCACACAGTCCTTTGCTGTAGAGCATCTCCTTGTGAGCAGGTAAATCACTTGGTGTGTTAAATATATGTGTAAGCATATGAAAACATTCAATATCACATCAAAGTTCCTTTTGATCTCATGTCCTGCCTCCAGAATTGTGGGTGACAGATTATTAAGAATCATGATATATAGTGATTCTTATAGAAAAATATACAAGAAATTATACAGGAATAGATAGTAACAGATGCTCAGGAAACAAAAGGATCAGTGCTTCAGGTATGGAACAGACAAAGACCAAGGAGGTTGTGAACTCTGAAGTCATGGAAAAGCAGCATTGCATCAGAAACAGAGGAGGTGGGTGGTAGGAAGAAGTTTAGTAATGGAAGTAATCCATCAATGGGAGAAATTAAGCAAAGGTGGAACGAGGGTGGGTGTGAGCTGCCCTCATGCTGTGAGGACCCAGCTGTGCCACCCTGATGTCCTCCCTTTTCCAACTGCTCCCTAGGTGCTCGCTGCAGGACGGTCAGTGCGAGTGTCTGCCCAACATCGTGAGCCGCCAGTGCAACGAGCCAGCTCCAGGATTCTTCTTTCTGCCCCTGGACTATTATATTTATGAAGCTGAGCATGCAAGGCCCCTTTCTGGCTCTGCACCCCTGGTAGGTGTTTGGCTTTTTGGGTGTTGTACTGAGAGGGGACCATTGTGGTGATGACATGGGAGCTGAGGCTGAGGAGGACAGCCCTTGCTTGGGGAGCAGCTCTTTGGCAGGAAAATGCAAAACAAGCCCCATGGACATTGTCAGTTTGTCTTTGTGTGTCATGGACATGACTATTCCCTAACTGTGGCTGTTAAAAAGGGACAGTCACTACAGCATGGTATGCCCTGCAGAGCTGCCCTTGGTGCTTCTTAAGTGCAGGCTGGTCTATCATGAATCAGAGAAATAAAATTAATTATTTAAATTAGAGTAAAGTATTTTAGTTGCCAATAGCTCTCATGAAATATTTTATTTCTGGAAATCTCCAACAAGGGAAGAATCAAATTACTCTCTGCTCCATTGGACTAATTCCTGCTGCCTTATATAACGGCATTGATTGTAGCCTAATTTCCTCAAGAATTTGGCATCCATCTGTAATGCCTTTAGAAAAATTAATTTCTTTTTCCCCCTTCAACATGGGGGTAGTTGTTCCCCATGCTGACTGCAAGCCTGGAATGCACCCCTTCCTCTGTCTATGCTTTTGCTCACATTTTTTCTCTGACATGCATAGAAACTATAGATAAAGAATAATAAAAAAATGTTTATTTGCATGTTGCATCCACAAATATTTAGCAATAATCACAATCAGCAATTATCCTACAGTCCATTAATTAAATGGAAAACAGATGTCTGGGACATAGCTTATGAGGGAAAAGTGCAAGTTAATTTTAAAGGAGTGAGGGAAAAAGATTTCCAGCAGCTGTTGAGCCACAGTTTAGAGTTTCTCCCTTTAGAGAGAATAGATCTTGTTTTAAGAATGTGGGTTTTCATTTACTTGCTTACCACCCTTCAACATTGTTGAGACAGTGCTGCTCCTCTTTTGATACTTCATAGGTTCAGCCAAGCACTCTTCCAAGGTGTGACATTTACTTCCAGAAGAAAGGCTATGAGTTCATGATTGAAAATGGAAAGATTGTGTTAAACAGGAACAAGAAACGAACAGTAAGGAAATCTGGACTGGAACAGGTAAATTAGTACTTGAGTAGTTACTCAAGTTTACACCAAATAATAAAATTTTATTTTGTAACAAAGGGCAAGGAAATGTCTGAGCACATGGGATTTGCAGTCTTAGACATTTCAATCCTGACACAAATAAATTTTTTGGTACACAGTTGGGTTGGACATTTTATTATTCACAGTGACAGGCTTGCTCTGCTATGTCCGGTGCCTTTGTAGACTCATTTCCATTAATTTTTGGAAGAGAGAAGACCTTATGAAAGGTAAATTTTTTTTGGTTGCAAGAATTTTCAACAAGTTTGCCAAGACATTAGCATGGTACCTCCTGCACTTAAGTGCAGCCATTGTAAGTACTGATATTTATGCATCTAGCTTACAATGGAATGGTTCAGCTGTGTATGAAATCAGGCTTACTCTGTTTAAGGTTTGCAATGTGAATGTTTGGAGATGCCAAATATTCAGAGGTGAGTGGATTATTCTAGTCTCTCTTATTGCTGTAGCTGCAAAGTTATAGGAATCTTTCCTTTACATGTGTCCCTAAATATCCTACCTTTGGGAGAGTTCTTTGATTGTCAATCTCAAGCTTGTTTGGAAAATGAGACTGATTACTAAAATAAGTAAAAATGCGGCAAAAATATTTCCTTTCTTTTTTCTGACTTTGTTTCAGTTGTAATTTGACTCTGTGTGTTGTTGAAGATGCCAGTGTGTCTCTGCAGGGTGCGATGCAGTTTGGACAGGACCCGGATCTGGCCGTGGTGTTCCGGCCACCCAGCGCTGGCCGGGCTGTCACCTGGACAGGGCACGGCTTCGCCCGTGTCCCCAGCGGGGCTGGGCTCAGATTTGCCATCAGCAACGTTCCCTTTGCCATGGACTTTGATATCACCGTTCGCTATGAGCCTGAGGTACTTGTCATGTCTTGTGTGTGTTGTGGTGTTGTGATAGGTGCAGGGTCTACTTTGTGAATAATAGGATGAGCAACTTGTCCTATTCTTTATATCAAAAATTAAAATTGCTTGGTTTTTCACCCAGTAACAAATTGCCTTACCAACCAGTAACATGTTCTCCAGTGACCCCCTTAACCCTTTCCGCTCAAATATGAAAAATCAGCACTAAAAGTGTTTTCTAAGCATGGGCCAAAATTTCATCTTCTGAGTATTTCTCTTTTGGCAGCTTTACTTGGACTAGGCTATTACTCAAAAATCAAACACATGGAAAATGCAGATCCTTTTAGACAAGCATCCTGTATTCCTAGCTGGGTTTTTTGGGCAGTAAAGTGTGTACAGGCAGGAGTCATCTGCACAGATATTTATCCAGGCCTTTTGCAGACATCCTGCTTCCCAGTTGTTCCATCTGGACTCTGAGATGTGTGAAAATTGTAGGAAAATAGCAAAAATTACTATTTTTTGCCTGGAGAAGATTTCTTAATGATGATGGCATGTCTAGGGAAATCTGTTAATCTGAATCTGGTTAAACTCAGGTCCTTACCCATGTCTTCAAAAACACACGCAAGTGTTTTATTGGTACCAGCTTTTGTATACTCCTTACTCTTTTGCAATTCTCTGGGACAGTCCCACACCTCAAGATTTTCCTGTTGTCTATTGTGTTCTGTTCTCTGACTAGCACTCTGAGGCAAAACAATCTCCCAGTGTTTTAAAACATGGGAACAATTTTTTCAGTGGGCTAGCTTTTTCTGTCTAAGGATTGAAGAGTCGAGTTTTAAATACATTTGATACAAAGTCTTTTATGTTTACTATTTCTTATTAGATGTGTGAGAAGGCAGCTAATGAAGGATATCTCCAGAAAAACACTGTGCTAAGAAAAGAAACAGCTCCAATGACTCTAACAGAGCTGTTTCCATTTGAACCAGCTGAGGTCCCATTTCCGTCTCTGCTTTTCATTATCTATTGCAAATACAATGAATTTTTCACAATAACATTGTTTTTCAGTGCTGTAAAGAATAAAGAGAAAGTCTGTCTTTTCACTGCAGTGTGCAGTGATTCAGATGGCTTTCATTAACACTTGCAAAGAGAAAGCAGGTTTTTCAGATACAAAATATAGCCAGAATTTTTGTCTTTTGTTTATAGATCTTGGAAGACTGGCTTGCAAGAGTTGCCATCCAGCCTGCTGGTATCTTGTCAGATCAACACTGCAAAAACAAGGTCTTTTCACAGGAGCCACAAGAGCTGCCTCTCCCAGCTTCAAAGAGGTCTGACTGTTGCTGTCTTTTTGCCTGTAGATCTTCTGTGTACAAATCGTTTACTGAAGCACTGCAGAGCAACACGTGTGGGATAGTGGGAATATCAGAAACACATGTGGGGCCTTTTCTGTTGCTGGCACACCACAATGCTACAGAGGGTCTAAGGAAGAGTGTGATGCCCCAATCTGGCAAACATTTGCCAAACCCAGGAGAGCAGCCTGAGATTCAGCTAAGGTTGGTTGCTCTGGTGAAGATCAGAATGGAAAGGAAATATTGACTTAAACTCACTGTCCTAGTCTACTTTCAAAACCAGCTTTTCAGCTTGGATCTGTGTAAAGAATAGAGAGAAGCTAAGAGGATGTGACCAATGTCTTGATCAAAGAGGGACAGGAAAGGATGAATATGAACAGTGAGTTGCAAACCCCCTTGCTAGAAGCAGTAAAACCTGCCATTTTCAGTTTAATCTCCTCAATTTAAATTGCACTTAGAGAATCATCTGGCAGAAGTCCTGCAGCTTTCCCAAAGCCTGCAAGCATGGGGCTGGGTGTGCTCCTCACAGCAGCAGGGCTTGCTCCAGGCTGCAGGCATCAGTTTGCAGGCACAGAGGGAAGGGAGAGCTCACAACATTCAGTAAACTTGCCTTGTCCTGACTCCTGGCTATAACTGTGCTTCATTTCTGCTAAACAGGATTGCAATTCTGCAAACCCCAGTCTGCCTGGAGCCCAGAACAGAATATTTTGTGGATGTGTATTTTTCCCAGCCCTCTGCCTCTGACAAAAAGGCAAAATCATTCATCTTGATTGACTCAGTGAGTAGTTCTGTCACAAGTCCCTTGAGGTTGTATTTCTACACAGTGCTATTTTTTTTACAGACTTATTAGAAGTATTTTTAAATAAGGTATAGTGTGTTTTAATAGAAATTCAGCTTCTGTTTTTCTCCATTATGCAAACAGTGCATATTTTTGCATGGAAAGGCAGAATTGTATCTGGTTAAATTTTCATGGAGCAATACAAGTCATACTTGTTGCATACATTGCATGTTTCTCTATCTGTTGCTCATTGATTATGAATACAGTCCATATGTATGTGCTGATAAGATGCTGTGGGCTATGGACATAAATTTGTACAGCTCCTCATCGCTTAGGTTTTTTTAAATATCTCTAATTTGTTTGAGTCATGGATATTTTTAAGGATTATATTGGAAAAGTAAAATTAGTCTTGTACTTCCTGGGAATCAGTTCCAGATATTTTGCAAGTTTCCATCAAGTCAGGAACTGGGTGTTAGTTTTGGGTCCTTCTCTTGAAAAATATTTTTAGGTCTATTTCTCTTATTATTCCTGTAGAACTGGACCTGGCAAGGGCTGGCTATACTTGGACATAGAACCTTCAGCTGATTTTTCCCTATCACAGTAATACAAGTAAAAATTTTGGCCAGACACTGCTTTTGGAGTCACTAACACAGCATAGCAAGACCAGCTCTGAGCATATATCAGAGGTCTTATTATAATTTTATTTTTTTAAACACAGTCTCTCTTATTTGAAGAACTCAGGGAATGTTTAGACCTTGAGAATAAATGTGAATTTAGATGACAGAATGGCACAACTGCAGATTTGGAAACCCAATGCTCCAGGCCTCTGTCGTTCCAATGAAAAGCACATTAGGAGAATGTGGGAAATTCTGGTTTTCAATATATCTAAGCAAAAATATTTTCTTTTCTCTCTTAATGACAAAGCTTGGACTTATTCCCAGAATTGGATCTGTGGAGAACTTCTGCAGTGAAAAGGATTTAGATGAGTACCAGAAGTATCACTGCATTGAGATTGCATCTGAAGTTGGGCCCCACGTCCTGCCCGAGGCGTGCGCGCGGCTCATAGCGAGCCTGTCAGCCCGAATCCACAACGGCGCCGTCGGTGAGGACCAGCCTGCACAGGCAGCTCTTTTGGGCAGTTGCTGGCTTTCCCTTGGGTTTGTAGGGTATGTAGACTGTAGAGCTCTGAGCCTGCAGTGGTGTAGAAGTGAAGCTGGCCAGCATGTGATATCTATGGATGTGCAGGGTATATCCCGCTGAATCCTGCATGGGCTGCAAACACCTCTTGGTGGCATGAATCTCAGAATTCATCACTCCTGATGGGCTTCATGAGCAGCATGAGAGGGACCATGGCAGTGTTTTTGTGTCTTCTGAAAAACATTTGAATCAGATGCCTTTACCATAGGGCCAAGGCAGTAATGTTCCTTCTTTTCTGGCTGCTGTTAAATGACAGAGAAATTTCAAAGCCCTCTCTCTAGATGCTATAGGCCAGCTGAATGCCTTGGTAAGATTACAGGCATGATGGTACATAAGTTGGTGTACTGGAAGAGATTCACCAGGTATACCTTGAAGATATTCCAGCAAGAAGGCAGCAGCAGGTGGGGTTTGAAATTCCTAGGCAGCTTCCTGGATCCGCCATTAGCTGGGCTCAGTAGCTCAGGGAATTTCCCAAGTATTTGGCCCAGAGAAATAGAATTTCTCTGCACTTCCAGTAACAGGAGGGGCCTTTCTGGGCAACTTTGGTGGCCAGCTTCTTTCCAGGCAGCAATCTCTGCAGCTTCTTTAGCAGCATTCCCTCCAAAGTGATAGCATCTGCTTGGATTGGACAATTTTTAGCACTGATGCCTCACTCTAATATCAGGCAATGAGGTTACAGCTGTGCAACCTGTGAACCCCTCATTTAGGCTTAGGCTGTGATAACTTCCTATTGGCCTGATTCCTAAAGTGACAAGATTCTCCCAATGAAATGTGGCACTTTGGTTTTCTAGTGCTTTCCAGAGCATCCTGGGCAAACATCCTCTGGGGGTTAGTGGAGCATCTTCACCCAACAAGTTAATCCAAGTTGTCCTGAAGGAAACAAACAGTACACAGATGCAGACTAAATACAGCTTGCAGGTTATGTCCAATGCTTCAGCTAGATGCAGATTTATAGCAAATTTTTCTAGACTTCAGGATGGCTCTGTCTGGATCTATGCTTTGCTACTCCTTTTCTGTCATACCCCAAATGTGTGCTGAAGGCAGTGCCTTGAATGTGGCAACTGCAGCATCAAGACTTGTGCTGGTGCCTGATATACCATCACCGTTGGTGCTACACCATCAAATGATCTAAACTATGGCAGCATCAGTTTAGTGAACTCCTGAGAAGCATAATCAAACTCTTTCCTACCTATTTTAAAGGGTGAAACCTGCAAGCTGATGAGAGCAGTAAAACTCCTTGACAACCAAACCTGTTTTGATTTTCTTTCCCCTTGCCAGCATGCAAGTGCAATCCCCAAGGGTCGCTGAATGCCAGCTGCAGTAAGCTGGGGGGGCAGTGTCAGTGCAAAGCCAACGTCGTGGGACGCTGCTGTGACACCTGCTCTGCAGGCAGCTACGGCTTCGGCTTCCATGGCTGCTACGGTGAGTGCCCTGCAGCCAGCACCGCTGCCAGGACCACCCCAATGTCTCAGGGCTTTGAATCCTGAATTATATGTGAAGCAATATTAAAAATGTTCCCTCTAATAACAAATTTTCCATCCCTGCTGCCTTTGAGCAGCAATGAGATGGGTTGGCAGTGAGAGGAATAGCAGATTTGTCTTTACAAACAAGCTGTGGGTCTGCTGGTAGATAAAACTAGCACTAGGAGATAAAAGAAACAATGGGAAGGATTCTACTGATTGATCAATGGAAACAGATATTTGCTTTTACAAATAAACTTTAGGTTTGCTGATAAACAAAATTAGACATTGAGAGATGAAAGAAACAATGGGGAAGAAAAACTCCTAAATTCTGTAAGAATTAAAAATTAAGAGGGAGTGTTATACATTAGAGGGAAATCTTTGGCATCAGGCGTGTCGGAGAGTCTGTACCTCTCAAGTACTTTAGCTAATGGGGAAAGAGAGAGGGAAATGCAGCCGGGAAATTAGGATAAAAGGGAGGCTGTGTATACTAAAAATGTGAGAGATCTCAGGGGAATGTCCCATGGCCTGTCCCTTTATTCGAATAAAGCCAGAAAGGACTCCTCTGTCTCCCTTTTGGACATAAACTCCTACTGTTTGTAAATTAATTTTCTTCACAGCAGGAACGCTTTAAGGGCGCAGCTTTGCTTTGGTGTTTTCCAGCGTGCGAGTGCCACCCGCAAGGCTCGCTGAGCGCGCTGTGTGACCAGGTGACGGGGCAGTGCTCCTGCCGCCGGGCCGTGGATGGCCAGCGCTGCAGCCGCTGCCTGCCCGGCTACTTCGGCTTTCCCCACTGCCGCCCCTGCCCCTGCAATGGCCACGCGGAGCTGTGCGACCCTCGGACCGGAGAGTGCCTCGAATGCCGCGGCTTCACCGCCGGGAGCCACTGCGAGAGGTCAGTCCGTGGGCGCTGCTGCAAGGCTCCCACACACACCGCTGGTCTGCACAGTGCCGGTCTAGTCGGGGGCCTGCAAATGCATCAATGACCTTAACAGGTCACTGAGCCATTACCCCAGATTTGCAGAACACTTAACAGGTCATTGGCCTGTAAACATGAAATTGCTGAATGTCAGGTACCTATTTCTTTACTATTACCTAGTGCATGTGGGAATGTGCATGCAATGCCTGTGGGTGGACTGCAGGCAGGGCATGCACCCAGCATTGCAGCAGGCATTTGAGACATGGACACCACGGCACCATGTACTTGGAGACAAGCACAAAGCACCGTGTGTGGGATAAACTGACTCCTGCCAGGTTCCAAATTGCCAGCTTTCAAATTTAAAATTCAGCACGAGGCTAGCCAAGAGGCTGAATATTCTGCTGAATACTCATTTTAATTCCTGCAATTACCTTCAAGGAGTTTAAGTAAATGTGCCCTCTTTGCTGGTCAGGTTAGTTCCATGTCACCAGAAAATTACTTTTCTCACATGTTCCAGCTGCATTCAGAGCACTGCTCCTCTTTTTTGTTTTGTACACTGGCAGCAGTATCACAGTTCAACATGGACATCGAAATTAGGTTTGTTTCGTTTGGTTTGGCTGGACTATGCCTTGTCATTAATTTTTAAGAGGTTTTCCTCATGAAACCTGTTGAGCTTTTCCTGCAGTGGTTTTAGACAATACAGTGTTTGGATGTTCTATGTGTAGATGGCAAACAGATTAAAAATGGGAGACTGAAATACTTTTTGCCCTGTGGCTTTGCAGGATCTCCAGACTCCAGGGAGAGTCTCAGGAAGGATAATCAGGTAGCCAAGTATTTTAGCCTTGCCTGTGTACATATGGAGAGCTGTGTTCCCATTTGGCATAGTAGAACAGATCAAAGACTGAGGTTGCTCCAGAAGCCTCTGTGTTGTTTTTGCTGCAGCTGCAGGACTGAGGGGAGTTGGGATGCAGAGACAGAGGTGGTGTGCAGGGTGGTTGAACCCTCAGGGAGCCCCAAAAGCTCCCACCAGTTTGGGTAACAGCACAGCCACCAGCACCTCGAAGGAGCCATTAGGTTTGCAGAACATGTCAGACACAGCATGGCTCAATACATATGTTGCATCTAAAATATGCAGTATTCTCTGAGTACTCTTGAGGAATCATTGCTTTTTTGCCTGTGCCAGCACATTTTACTGTCATGCCAACCACTCTGTGTGTGTGTCTGGATGGAAATAGATGAATATATGGCTGATAGGTAAATATACAGAATTTTTATATGGCAGCTTTTAGCTGCCTATGCAGAGCATGTGTGATATGCCATATCATAATCTGCAGAGGATCCGGAATGGGACATCATGCCATAATCAATGTGATCAAATGAAGCCAATTGATTGCAAAAAGCAAGCTATATTTATACTGTGTTCTACTGTTCACTCCTCAAGCTAATACATGATTGGTTAAATTCTTCTGTGCTCATTTTAAGCTTTCAGTTAATTTTTGTTAGTTTTTCTTCTTCACGCGTCTCGCTGTGGTTTTCTTGTCTGCCTTTACATCCTGAACTGTCTGCTTCTGAGACCTTCTTCTTCTTTTGTGTTCTTCAAGGGCATTGTGACCTTACTCAGTTTCTATGAAGACTGGATTGTGCATATGGATTGTCTTGCAAAAACAGATAATAACAATAATCATTCAGTTTAAAATTCTTCCAGAGTAGGTGAAAGTCCTCACAAACATTTCTTGAAAGGAAAACATATGTCTTTTTCTTTTTACTTCAGATTTTGAGAATGCCATTCTGATTTTCCATTTTAGAACACATTTGAATCTTGATATGTCCCTACCAATTGATGGAGATAGCATTACAATGATCTGGAATATTAAATTCCATATATACATGTAAATTGATTCACCTGCATGGAGCACTTGACAATTTGTCCTGCTTTGTGTTGACTGCTTTGGCAGGTGCATGGATGGCTATTATGGAAACCCTCTGGATGGAGAGCCCTGCCACCCATGCATGTGCCCAGGGCCACCTACAAGCAATAGGTATTTTGCACATTCCTGTTACCAGGACTCCCAGTCTGCACAGCTTGTCTGTAATTGTCTCGAGGGATATTCAGGTATGAAGCAAAATAAAGACTGGTTTTGATACTAGTTAAATTAATGTAAGAGAAAAAAATTATCATCCTCCACCTCTCAAGTGTTCAGGAATGACAATGAGGTAATGCTAATAAAACATCTAAGAAGAGTTAGCAGTCGAGTTTACTGAAATTATGTGGCTAAGTTCTGACTAGGAAGAATGGGAATTGTGCAGTTAGTGTTTTCAAAAGAGGTTCACCTATGTGGATACAGTGAATTCATTTATTGTTCTGATATCACTCTCTGGAAATCTCCTCCTTTCTAGGGGTATTACACTGATCAGGTGGGGAGAGGGGGGGAGAACTGCAGTTGCTTGTTACCTCTGAAAAAGAAGCATTGCAAGCCCAAATGGGAATGATTAGAGTATCAAAAAGAGCTGCTAAGATTTCCTAATCAGAGAAAGTCTTTCTCCATATAGAGGAAACTCTTTGACATTATCCCTTAAAGTGACTGCTTCATGGTTCAAATAGTCATTTTAGAAATGGGGTTTCTGCTCTCAGCTGTATGAAATGCATATATTTTTGCAGCAAACTGATTCCTCATTTCCTAAGATCTTATTGACTTAGGCTGAATTCCTGAAGGGAAAGCTGAAGATATTTCCCTTCCCTTGGGCATTAGAAAGATCTCCTCTGGTGGAAGCAAAGCTTAATGGGAATCACTGCTGAAAATTAAACCAATGCTATCATCTTTACTTAGGCAAGGTTTCTTTATAAGTCAAAATTGGTTTTGCTTGAGTAATTGCTGTAGGGTCAAAATTATTCATGTTGGTGTTCACCAGGGGACTTCTGTCCTCAAAAATCACTGCACTCTTCAGTTTTGGACTTTATTGCTCCTGCTCCTTTCCAGCAAGACTCTTGGTCATCTTTGTAGCAGTGGTCTCACTTTCTCAGAGATTGAGAAAGACTCTGGGTCCTGAGGAGCACAGTGAAGGAGGAGAGTCCTTGGCTGAGGGTGATCCAGTGGATGTGGTTTCAGAAACACCAGTCTGCCCAGAATGGTTTCTGAGATGCAGAGGCTGCACCCAGATCAGGGCAGGCATTGAGACAGAATGCAGTACTAGTTACAATGCCAGCAAGGACAGAGCATCAGAGCTCATCTGAACTCCTGGGTACCCCCCACTCTCCAATGCTGCTTGAAGGGCCAAAGAAAATCCTGCAAATGTGGCTAACCCTGACTACTGCCATTGAATGGACTTTGATGGAAAAAGGTGTTTGGAGGTGTTATAAGATGGGGCACTGAATTGCTCCTGCAGAAAGGACTTTCTTGGTATAAACAATTTGGGATGAGAAGGGTGTCTTAGCATCAGATTTCAGTGGGGAAGAAAGAATTTAAACTGTTCAGAGAATTAAAGGACAATGATCTCAGGTGGATATTTTCCACTGGAAATGTGCATTTGAACAGACAGTCTGAATTTTTTAATAATATTACTGGAAATCACATGTTTCACTTGAATTCCATCAGCCAGCAAGCAATATTTTTACCTTCCTCTGACAGGCAATCAGTGTGACAAGTGTCCTAGTGGGTTCTACAATAATCCCAGCAGCCCTGGGCTTGACTGTGCACCATGTCCCTGCAATAACAACATTGATTTGACAGACCCAGAGTCCTGTAACAGGGTCACTGGGGAATGCACCAAGTGTTTACACAACACCCATGGAGAAAACTGCCAGTTCTGCAAACCAGGTTATTTTGGCTCAGCCCTCAATCAAAGCTGTCAAAGTAAGTAACAGCACTGCAACTGTGTTTTACTACCAAGAAAATGATTTTAATAAATGGGCTATAGGGAAAGGCTAGACCTTGGAGGGAGGACAAAACTAAAGATAAATAGAGCAAAATATAAGAATCACAAATATATTTCTCTATCTACTAAATACAAATATATCAATGATGCAAATAACTGAATATAGCATCTATTAAATTCTTTGTCATCCAAGTCTCACTAACTCTCATACTGAATATCACTCCTAGGAAATGCTATTTGTGAAATGAAAGCAGTACTCTCTGTTAGAAAAATAAATGTGCATTCAGCTTATTCAGGAAGGAATCAAAAGTAAAGGAATCAGTGATAATTGTTTATCCATGTTGCTGGCTGATGCCAGCTAAGCTCAGTTAGAGCTCAGTTAACCAGATGATCCCTTGCTGAACTTCCTGCCTTACCAGTTGTTTTCATTAAGTGGCTAGAGTGAGAGCATTCAGGCTATTGAATAGATTCCATGAGGACACAAACTCAGCACTTTGAACAGAAGAGTAGGAGTGTAAGGAAAAGCAAGGCACAAACTTCTTCCCAGTTTTTCTCTAAACTAATTTTCACAGATGTGCCTGAGGATGTAATTTCTATGGCCAAAATTATATATAAGTATAAGTATAGTCAAAAACAATTTTTCTGGGAATCTCTAAAATACAGTCCAAGCCTATCCCTTGTTCATTCTTGGAAGATGTCTGTTAGAAATTGTTAAGTAAGACTTTTGGCTTCTCACTGGAAGGGCTTCTTATCTTACTTGGCTGACTGAAGATTCCCACGCTGGATAATGCCTACTGTAAATCAACTTATCCTTACCCAACATATTTAACATTGCATTCTAATAAGATTCAGAATTCACTGAGCCTTCATTTTCTGTGCCTGTATTAAAAGGGTTGAACATTCACAGAAAGTTTTCTCAAAGCCATATATAAGTTATTACAGAAAGACAGGTAATGTGTATGAGATGAAACATGTTCAAACATAAAGCAAAGCTTTATATCCATCTCTGACTGTCCATCAGCTGTCTGTGTTTCTGTCTGCTGTAGTAATTGTCCCTCTTTTTCCAGGCTGCAGGTGCAATCTGGCAGGTGTTCAGCCTGCCATGTGCCCGGGGGGGGACGCAGCCTGCCTGTGTGACCCAGCCACAGGAGCTTGTCCCTGCCTGCCCAATGTGCTGGGTGCCACGTGTGACCAGTGTGCCTCTGGCTACTGGGGCCTGGCCAGTGGAAAAGGATGTCAGACCTGTGACTGTGACCCAAAAAACTCCCAAAGCAACCAGTGCAACCAGGCAAGAAAATTACTGTTTTCCAGAAACCAAGGTGCTGGTGTTTTGACAGGGCAAAGTGGGGACCCTCTTATAAATGAAGATCGCTTTTTTGTCATATTCCCTAAAACCAAAAAATTCTTTGGAAGTTTGTAGTTGGTGCAATCACACTGTGAGTCATTAAATCAAAAGTGTTGTTCTGATAATGAGGCTTAGCAATTTCTCTTTGCATGTTTTTTTGTCAAGTGGATCTTAGAAATACATTGTAAAAAGATGTCACAGGAAAAAGCTGCCTCATAACTATGCATATAGGGAAAAAGGAAATCCAAGCTTGGACCCAAGAGTCTGATGAGTATTTTTTAAGTGTTTATTTTCATAAAGTAGCAGCTGTGGCCATTGCATTAATCAAGCCTCATATATTGTACTACTAGAGTACCTTTTCTCATCTTTAATTCCTGTGCACATTTCAGGGCTAGAATGTAGAAAAAATTAAACAGCATTTCAGAACAGAGAGGTGAAATTGTGGTCCCATGGAGTCAACAGCAATTCTGCCATTGACTTCAGAGCACCAGGAGCTTATCCTCAAATCTTGCTGATGTACTTGCACATTTTTTTTCAATATGCTCTCTGTTTGTTCCAGTTTATTCAGTAGATTTATTATTTTTTATAGCGAATTTAGTTCTTGACTTCAAAGAACTACTAGCGGTTATCAGAGTTGTAATTCCCTGGAGTCTAATTTAATAGCTGAATTTCAAAATATTTTTTCTAGGGCAACGTGCATAACATATTCTCAAGGTTTTCAGTTACAATTGATGTATTGTGAAGTTTAAGTTGAAATGTTAAGATAAGTTCTTAGATCTAGCAAAAATAAAAAATAATTATTTTGCAAAGGAAAAGAATCCTCTCAGATCATTGTCAGAGGATGAGTTCTCAAACAGCATCAGTAGATTGGATCATACAAAATCTCCAACATTAATAAGACAAAGCCATTTCTCAGAGTGCATTTTGTTTTCAGGATCTTCAGGAGAAAGCTAGAAAAGCTGGGCCATTACTGTGTAAACCATGGTGTTCAAAGACTGTGAGCAAACAGTGTTGCTGCAGCTCTTGTACAGCTGCAATAATGTATATCCAGCCCTATGGCTCTGCTGGAAGTTATTCAACCCTATCTGTCTTTACAGCTTACAGGCCAGTGCCCATGTAAGCCAGGTTACAGTGGAAGATACTGTAATGAATGTGAGGAAAACTACTTTGGCAATCCCCAGATGCATTGTGTTTGTAAGTATTTTTGCGTGGGACAACTGGATTAGAAATTGCCTTGACATAAAGGCTTACCTTTTATATTCACAGAGGAAACAGGGCATTTGTGTAGAGAAACAGCCTTTCATATGTTTGTGTGTATGAGATGGACAAGTGTTTATATTATTTATCTATATTTTTATTTAAATGTTCAAGATGGAAGTTGGAGATGAAGAAGAGCCACTACTGTGCAGTCCACCTTGCTCTAACTCAAACACTGCTTTGCTTTTATTATCTTGAAAAGTGTCTTTTTCATGCATTAATCCCACAGAAAAGGAGCAACTGGATGTAACCTGCTGTTCCTTTCTTGCAGCATGTGAGTGTAACCTGGAGGGGACCCGCCAGCCCACGTGTGACAAAGCCACGGGCGCGTGTAACTGCCGGGCTGGTGTCACCGGCCGGCTCTGCGACCAGTGCGCCCGCGGCTTTGGCAAGGACTTTCCCTCCTGCCCTCAGTGCCATCTTTGTTTTGATCAGTGGGATGCTGAAATTGCTGCTCTTGCTCAGACTGTGCAGGGCTTAATGAGGTTTGCAGCAAAGCTGGAAGATAAAGGAGGACGAATGCCCAGCTGTGACATGCGCTTCAAAGCCTTTGAAGATGCCATTTCTGAAACTGAACGCATTCTGAGACATCCTGTCCTTTCACTGGAGGCCCTTTCAGGCATCAGGGATTTTCAGGGCTATCTTCAGTAAGGGCTAGGTTGCTCCTGGAAAAATCCCTTAGCTGAGAAACTGTCTTCCCCCAGACTCCACCAGCCATCCCACTTCTGATTAGCACACAGATGCTGGTCTACTGAGTCACTGTTTTCAATAGATCTATGAACAAAATAATCCTTAATATATACCTAACCATAAAGACATACATAAATGCTGGAATTTTCAAGTTAATACTAAAGGTTTTCTAAATGAGCTATATAATTAAATGGTTTTGCTTATTTATAAATGTATCTCTTGCCCTCTAAAATGTTGTGTAACTCGGTTCTAGTTTAAGAACAATCTGGTCTGACTTCTGCATAACTGTCTTATCCCCTTCAGACAAAAAGTTGCACAGATGGATCCCCTTCACAGTTCACCCTTTGACTTTCCTGACCTTAACAAGAGCATAAAAGATATAGTAGAAGAAGCCAACCTAGTGTTTGAACTTCTACAACAAAAAATACGTCTGCATCAAAGTTTTCAGTACTTGAACTTCAAAGGTAAGTCAGCAATGAATTAAAATGGGTGGACATTTTCCCTAAAATTTTGGAATGCTTTCTCATCATTAAACCATACAACATTTCAAAAGATCCTTTCACTTCCTATGGTAGCACAAAAATGTTGACAATAATAACATTTTACACTGACTTTCCAAATTCTCTTTTGTCTTAAAATGCTGTGATTTCTGGCATCCCAAATTTCAGATGCATGTGCCAGGGTCACATCAGTCAAGAGTCTCATAAATCCAAATGCTTACATCAGGATATAAAAGAAACCCAGTTTCAGAGTACAGACTCACATGCAATGGAACAGCAAAGGAGTCCCCCACCACATCTGACTCCTTTTGCTCATAGGAATACTAAAAGAATCTTGTACAGGAACAGTTTATTTAATTAAAGCATTGTGTCATAGTGCAGCCTCCTAGTGTTCTCATGGGAAAATACTTGACTTTATGTGGGACAGAAGTAGCTCTCCATCATCAAAAAATGTGAAAGCAGAACTGAGCTCCTTGGCATTTTTGAAAGAATTACATCCTGTGTGTTTGAGCTAAGTATAGGGTCCATCAGCTGCTAATAACTGTAATGATGATGTCCCACGCTGGTTTCTGGAGAAAAATGGGGCTATATCAGGCAGGGATCTTGGACAGATGCTACACCACCCACAGTGGCAGGAGATGGTCAGCAGAATCCTCTTCAAAGACATGGATGCCGGGATATGAACCCCCAGAAGACAGGGTGCTCACCACAGAAGACACAAGCAATGCACTCCCACTTACAGTTCCTCTGTTTCATTCAGGCAAGAAAAACTTGGCCCAGGCAAGTTGGGGTTTTGTTTTGGTTTTTAAAATTTTTTTGGTTTGTTTTTTGTTTGTTTGTTTTTTAAATAAAAACAAAGGGAAAAGGAAGGAAAAGTCAACAAAATGCGAAGCGGAGGGAATGGGAGAGAGGAAAAGAGGGATTAACAAAGGTTTAGGGCTCCTGTGCCCTGTTGCATTTGGCAGCCCCCTGGGCAGCTCCTCTGCAAGCAGCCAGCAGAGCTCTCCCAGGCTCCACTTCTCAATTCAACTGAGCCTTGCACAGACAGAAAGGCAGAAAGGCAAAGAAACAATAAATCCCAGGGAGGCCAGTGGACACAGAGCTGAAGCATCCATAGTGCTCTCTGGTCACATTCCAAACCCACTTAATCTTTTGGCCTCTGGAGACAGATAAACAGCCCTATAAAAAGCTCATGGGAGTGTGGGGAGGGGAAGACCTTGAATTTAAGATGAATTTCCTATCAAGGCCACAAATATTCATTGGTTCTGCTACCAAGCGTATAATAGCACAAAAATAACATTTCCCTCAAGATAAACAGCTTTTCTGATACCCAGGAGAGAGACTGGCTCCTCAGCCCATCTTCCTTTCAGACCAGCAGCATACCCTATATATGGTTGTGCTTTTTCCTCTCCTTTTTGCTGGGGCAGATTCACCATCTGGGGCACATCTGGCACTCATGCCCTAGACACACACAGAGAATGAGCTCCTGCCTGTGTCTCTGTGCAGAGGATCAGAAGCTGGAGTCCTCACAGGCACACGTTCAGCTAGATGACCTGGAAATATCAATATCTAATGATAAATTAAAACCACTGGAAAAACCAAGATGCAAGTGCCCTTAAAAGAATGTTTGCAGTCTATGAGATCTCATTAAATTATGGGTTTCCAGCATTGGCCCCTGCCTTTGCAGCAGCTGAAGTGCAGTAACCCAGTGAGAGAAGCTTCCTAGGTTGTAAATCAAGCCTGTGCTAAGACACTGTGTTTAATGTAAAGGAACTTGGAATCTCTACAGCTCCATCAAAAACCAAATGTGGAAAATGCATTTAGGCCATTTAATGGAGAGCTGAACCACTGTGAAATATTCCTGCAATAGAATTGTTGCGCAGAAAAAAATCTCTGGCTTAGATGAGGAGTTACAGCAATCCCTTGCCAGGTATTTTGTATTAAGAGCTAGCTTTAAACTGTATATTGTTTCCAAGAATGACAAGATAAATAAATAGCCCTGGTTCCACATTATAGCTAAACATTGTTCAGCTTCAATCAAAGCACAGCCAAGGGCTTTAGAGCCTGAATCAAAGCATGCAGGACTTTGAGTGTCTTGTCTTTGACTTCAACTCTTAACTGAGTCAGTTACCAGCACAAAGAGAGATGTTAATCAGAGACCTCTAATGCTTTTTCACTGCTGACACATCAATTCTGGCTCTGGACACATTTCTGCCTAGGAATGTGGGCACAAATCTGGGCTCTCTGGAGACCTGGGAAACCTCAACAGCAGCAGTAACAGCTTTAAATTATGTGTGTTGCAAAGGGCCTGAATCCTTTTCTCAGGCTATTAATTTGCAAAAAATGGAATATTCTCCAACCCTTTTGAGCCTACTTAAGGAAAAGCTTTCACTAACCAAACAAGACTCTTGCTGGAAAGCATTTTTAGCCTGGCCTATTAGCTTATCACGGAAGTGCTTTTTTTTAAATTCATCAATCCTGAAACTGGATTTTCCAGAGACAAAAAAGCCCTCATATATTCCCATTTGTAACATGAATTTTGGTCTCACTCTAGCAGACCACTTAACTCTTGGGTGCTATGCTGAGCAGAAAGGATGGTTATTTTCCTGACTCAATCAGGCAGCTGATCATTTAATGACAATTGGCAGGAAGAGTTTTCCTGCCTAAAACATAATAAATGTCAGGACCTTTTATCAATTAACAATGGCAGCAATGCATGAGCTACTGATGAATGCAGATCTGTAGCAGTTAGTGTCAATAATGGGATCTCCTTCATACTTCTAACTATTCTGTTGCCTTGTCAAACACCTTGGCATCCTGTGAATGACACAGGATCCACCATTTTTTCATCTAGTTTAGCAGGTTTTATGACCATTGATAACTATTTCTATTTGGCAACTGGATAAGTAAAGGATTAAAAGGCTTGGCTGAGGAAAAGACAGTTCCTGCCCTTCCCTGCTTCCCAAATTAAACACCAGTGAATCACCTGTCACTCAGCAATTATCCAGGATTCAAGCAAATGCACAAACTGAATGCAACCAAATGCAGTTGGTACTAAACCCAATTTCTGTTGGTACAGAGGCCATCAGCAACATTAGGAAACACTCTGAAGTGTCATTGCTGGCAGAGCAGAGGACCAGGGGGACAACCCCTGCTGTAAGACACTCAGAGTACACCAGGAAGGACGCCCTCGCCATGTTGGACCATCAGGTCTTTAACGCAAGCAGTGTGCTGCAACAGCTCAGAATGATCAAAAGCCCTGACATCCAAAACCTGAATGAAAAGGTAGGTGCTGTGGATTTTGAATGCAAGTTAAAAAAACCCTAAAAACCAAAAAACCTTTTTTTAATGTTGTAGTAGGTTTTCTTTTAAAAGGGTGCTTACATGCATTTTTAAGTCTGGAAAATGGCACTTCCTTGCCACAGCCAATCACAGAACAACTGCACTTCTCAGCTGTAGTTATTTCCATCCTTCTGGAAGCCATTGTTCCCAGGACAAGGAACTGTTCAAGCACTCTCTAGTCTCAAGGGGTCATCAGAGTAATTTCAGAAAGATTAAGGCAAACCTTCTCCACGAGTAAGTTAAACTAACCAGAGTGACTTTGTCCTGGAGTGGATGGAGAGTGCTCAGATATCCTTTGTGTCACCTCTGGGAAAGAAGGGGATTTCTGCTCTTCTGTAGGGCAGCAGTAAATACCTGATAGTACCAATTCATGACAAATCTGGAAGAGATCATCCACCTAAGCCTATAGGTTCCATATCTGTGTCAAAATACATGGAGGACTAGACACAGCACCTTGTTCTGTCAGAGGTTACCTGGATCCTTTAGAAGAAGCCATTGACCCATGGGCTGGATATAGTTAGGGAAAGGTTTCAGCCCTTTTGCTAAAGAAGAGCAAAGCAAGGGTCTCAGTACATCACTTGGAGCCTAACAAATGGCTCCTGCAAGGATGCTCAGAGCCATGGGCTGCCATTGCATCCTTCAAATCAGGGCAGAGGGACCTGTGCCTGGCAGTGATACCCATCCTTATATAGACCAGATGCTGTGTCTTGGGGAATATCCTATCCTATAGTCAATGTTCACATGATGTCAAACATCTTCCTTCCCTCAGGAGTGTATCTCAGGCCCCCAGAGGAGTCCTGACATAAGCATCTTCCTTCTTGCAGATCTGTGGTGTTCCAGGAGACCAGCCATGTGCCACAGCAGCCTGTGGAGGAGCTTTGTGCCAGGACAGTCGTGGACTGAGGCAGTGTGGTGGCCCAGACTGCAGTGGAGCTCTTCCTCTCTCCTCTGAGGCCTTCAGGAAAGCTGAGGAGACTGCTGTGATGCTGAATAACGTGACTGCTCAGCTACAGGAACCTGCGAATCAGGTGCTGTATATCAAACCTACATTTGTTCAGTGAAATTGATGGAGGATGAGATTTGGGAGGTCACAAATCTACAAAAACTCACCTGCTCTTTGGACAAAGAGTGGTGACATAGTGATGGACTCTATCCCAGCATCACAGACCTATCATGATTCAGTACCAGGTGTCAGCCCCACCAGGAGATTGGCTTTATCTAGATCTTCTTCCTCATAGCTGCTGATTTCAAAAGTCATGGTGCCATGGTTTCTATGGGAGTAGGTGGTTTCAGGCTAGAATTGTCTAAATTTTTACTGGGAAAGATTCAAATGGCACCATTTGTCAGTAGCCTGACATGCTTATTGCAATGGGATTACTGCTGTGCATGGTGTTAAGCTCTATTTATACAACTTCCTACTACTCTTATGCTTGCCAATAAATTCCTTTGGAAAATAATTTCAAGATGAAGCTTTTCTGCCCCCAGTAATGTTTAGGAGGGCATCAATTAGTTGACTATACTGCACAGTAGCAGTGAAAAATAATTCAAGCAAAGTGTGGCCAATGCAACGTATGCCAAGGAAACAAAACAGACAAATCCCAAAGCAGCAGTAAGGAGTTTGTTCTTATTAACAGTCAGAGATGATGCCTGTTCCAGTTATAGGCAAAGCACATTTCCAGCAGAAATGACATTCTGCTGTGGCTTTGTCCCGTCCCTGCAGGATGCCTGGGCATCCATTTCCTCTCTTTAAAATGCCCTCGACTGCATCCCAGCCAGCCAGGCTGGAAATGAGCAATGGGGGCAGCACCGAGCCCTGAGCGCTGCCGGGCTGCCGGGACATCGCCTGGGGGGCACAAGCCTCAGGCACCCCCGTGGTAACCTGAGTGAGCTATTCTGAGCCGTTTCAGAAATAAAAACATCAGCATTTTTCTCGTTGCATGGGGAAAGATCAGATCTCTCCTCTCTGCAGACCACAGAGGTACCTGGGCCATTCTGGAAGGCAAAGCCCCTACCAAAGTAAAATATTGTTGGAATTTGATAATTAGTCTGAAGTTCTCATTTAAATTATCAAGAATACTAATTTAGTGGCAAAACGTAACTTTTAAAGACAAGCCTTGAACTCTACCTTCCTTGTGTCCTCTTGTTAAAATTTATAGCAATTCAGAGGGTGGGGAGGGTTTACATTCTCCATTTCAGGGAGGCTCCTGCCTTCCTTAGCAGACTCCTGTCTTTCCAAACCGAGACACCTCTTCAGCTGTTTTTTAACAGCAAGTCCAATGTGAAATGACAAATGAAATCACATTTTCTGTAATCAGATCTGAATCTGATCACTGACAAGCTACAGTACTGCAATAGCTGTCAGTATTTGTTTTTAGAAACAGGAGGGAGCTGTGGTTTAGCAGTGGTTGCAGAGAGGAAAAAATGCTTGATTTAGGCTTTTTCTGAGGCCAGATGAAGCCCAGGATGTAGCAGCTTCTGGAGTTCCCCAAAGAGGTCTCCTACTACTTTTCAAAGCCACATCAAGTGATTCCAGCTGAAGCTTGGATCAAAATTACCTTTGTGTCAGAGCCCAGCTTTCAAAGCAGTGGCAGATAACCTCCAGAAAATGGCACTGCTGTTTCTAACAATATTTCCAGGTTAAAAGCATTAGAAAAATGGCAGAAGACAGCAAACTGAAAGGGTCACGATTTAATGGGCAACTGGAGACAGCTATCAATCAAATTGAAGCTGATGGAGAGATCACTAAGGAGTTCATCCAAAAAGTGAAAGTCTTCTTGTTAGGTAAATATGCAATGTTCTTTTTGACTAATTTCTCATAAATATATTCCAATATAACACAGCATAATGGATAGCCAGAAGATGATCTAGCTGTGTATGCATGAAATTTCTCATCTGCATCCTGAACTGTACAAACTATTTCAATCCCTTTTTCCTAGTGCTTCTTTCTCCTAGGTGACAGTACTTTGTATCAATTTCACAATATATCTGTTACATTCTGATTATCATCTTTTATTACTGAGTTTAATTCCAACTAACTCTCTCTGTTCCTGGTTTATCTGGGTAAAGGACTACTAAAATAATTTCATACAAAATATAATGGCCAGGCATGTCCAGTGTACCCTCAAATTGTTATTCCACCCCCTTCTTCCAGGCCCATAAATAGAGGCTCTCGGTAGGGAGCGTGGGAATTAGGACACATCCCACTCCATCCTCTCCATAAAGCTGTAACTCGAGGAATCAAAGGATTCTGGTAGAACTTCACAGCTCTCATAAAAAAAATTAACAAAACAACTGTATCTACCCTAAAAAATTTCCACTCTCAGGATTGCAGAAGAATGCTGTAGGAAACAGATCCTAATTTTTTTTACCAGATGCACATCAAAGGGTTCAAATGTGGCAGGATTTTCTTTAATCTTTCTTCACTGTAGCTGATCTTGTAAATTTCTATGGATTGCAGTCTTGGCATTCATACCTCTACGTCCAAATGGGAGCAAGGGCAGGGGACAGAGGACTTCTTTTGTTCAGAAAAATTTACATTATTTTATTGATTTAGAAGATTTACGTCAATTTGATTGCTTAAGAGTCTCAGATTTTTATTGATAGCCACTGAAAATTCCATTTTTCACTCTTCTTTTATGTTTCTTAATAGACAGACAGCTTTTATTAACAATTTTAAAATATTTTTTCAAATCTTTTTTTTTTGTTAATTTTAAGAACAAGAACAGCTGAGAAGCATACAGTTAAACATTAAAAATACATTAAATCTGCTGAACTTGACATTGATGTGAATGGTGATTCTGGATGAATAAATTTCTACAGAAAATAGCTCTCAGGAATTCACTACTGTTTGCACACTAAATGTCTTCTATTTAATCCTTGCTGACTTACTCTGCAGATTACCACAACCATTTAACATATCTCAACTGCTTTATCATACAAGGTCTTGTCTATAAATGAATGTGAACAGAAAACAAAACTGATGACGTGACTTCTCAAGACATTGACTACTCTGTGTGTGCCTCTGCCTCTTAGCAAAGAGCTAGGACAAGCTCATTTGTAATGGGAATTTTCAAAATACAGTTTTTTCTATGGTAAATTCTCATCCTATGCAAGTCTGACCCAAGTTCCCTCTGCCGCTTAGCCTTTCTCATTAACCAGCAAAGGAACCACTTTCTCAATATTGTGGCAACTCCAGGGAAGGGATTACACCCACTGGCCAGCTTGGAAGCCTCCATTCACACCCCAGCCTCACCAGCACCTCTTTGATCTGTGGGCCAGGGGAGAAATGGGCTCTGACACATCTAGCTGTGCTGGGCACTGATTTAAAGCCCTCCACGGGCTCTGTCCTACATCAGAATTTTAATAACTCAGTTCAAAGTGGGTTCAAATCCTCATTTCAGCCAGTTCTGACAACACTAACAGCAGTATCTGGAAGCATAATATTAAATTACAAAATGTTGGAGATAATTCTCTTACCCCCTTGCTGTGCCTGTCAGCTTTACTCTCCCCCATAACTCAGAGGATAGGCAGCCATAATGACCATTTGCTGGGAGGAAGGAGCTGCTTCAGGATACTCTCAGCTCCATTTCTGTTGCAGATGAGAGTGCCCCTCCAGAAGACATCGAGAAGGTGGCAAATTATGTTCTGCAAATAAACCTTCCCCTGACTCCACAAGAGCTCACAGGCATGCTTGGCAAACTCCAAAGCATGATGAACCACTGTGAGAAGTACAAACTGAATAACAAGAGAAACATAAAAAGGGAGGATGCTCAGACACTGCTGGTGGAGGCACAAGAAGCTGAGTAAGTAGAGTATTCTCATTCTGCCAGCTGGGGTGGCACTGTGCACAGCAGGACTGCTCCATTCCCCTGGCAGTATCCCAGTAACACTGGAAGGAGAATTCAGATGGAGATTCCACCTTGCCTTTTCCACAGGGCCTCTGTCACTGCCACTCGGGCTGCAGCAGCCAACATGCTGAAAGGAGCAGCTCCTGACAGCTCCTGGCTCCTCTGCCTGCTGTCAGAGAGGCCAAAGCAGCTCCTTAACTCCACCTTGGACCTGGTGGAGCATTACATCTGGCTCACTGGGTTGTTTGAATAAGGGTGAGAAAAACCCAACAAGAGAAAAAAACATGTTCACCCATGAGTGTTCCCTCCCAGCTGTGCACCACCCGGCAGCCAGCAGCATCCAACCTCACCCTGAGTACAGCAGCTCAGGTGCTCCCCCACAAAGCCCTTTTCTGAGGTTTTGCTTTACCAATTTAGCACAATTTTAGTGGTTGTTGTTGGACTTGAGGAAACATTCCTGTATGTCAGCATGGGTGCATTTGAAACATGTTCTTGCTTTGCTCACCACACCATGATATTACATACACTTTCTTTTTTCCATTTTAGCAAAGCAGCTAAAGCTCTTCTGTCAGTGGATGAAATTAATAATAAACTAAAAAATGTTGTGAAGTCCCAAGGGCACTCCAAAAGCGCCATCATAAAGTCAAATGAAGAGATACAAAGCATCAGAACACAAATCTCTCAGGTATCTTGCTGCAAATATTTTAATTTATTTGCTAGATTTATTAGAAAGAGATATTTCATTCTGAAGTTTCATTAACATAAACTTAAATAAACAAAACCAGAATGTGGCATAGATGTGACACCAATTCCATACTGCTTAAGTGTCTCTTAATCCACTGACAGTCCCTCATTACCACACTCCACGAGCTGGATGGATGTTGCATGAGAAATCACAGCCTTCAATTGCTCTGTTTTAGGCTGAGAACCAAGTGAACAAGACAAACAATAAACTAAATGACTTGTCAGCCAAACAGGCTGAGATGGAAGATGAAAGTGCCACATGGCAGGCAAAAATGCTGATGAACAAGAACCAAGCTACAAAGGCAAGAGCAGAGGCAGAAGCAGCTCACAAGCAAGCCCAGAAAATGGATAATGTAAGCTCTTCTGTCACATGTTTAGGGGAAAAAAACCTCCCCCATGTTTAATAGTATTTTTGCTTCAGAAGCATTGCCATGCTGTCATAAAAACTTTTAACATTTTCCTTATGCCATGCAATGTGAAATGCCATGGTTAAGAAGAATTTGTGTTTTATTTTAAGGTTTCTGGCATACACGTCTGTTTGCTTGAATGACAGAAAACATACACATTTCTCTGGCTACTACAAGACATTTTTCTTGCACTGTGTATAAGACTTGTAGTCACCATGGGCACCAATAAACACAACAGAACAAATTACAAAACCAGATATTAAAATACATGAGTGATGGAAGCACCCTGACAATTCATCCTGTGCCGTTCTCCTTCAGAGAAAATTGCTGTGGGAGTAACTTGGAGTTTTTGATTGGCTTGGTGCTTTCCAGTAGTTCAGTTTTCTTAAAATGCAGCTAAAAATTTGCTAAAATGGCAAGAACCAAGTACCCATACCACAAGCTTGGAACATGGCCATATTTCCAAGTTACAAGAACTGTAGGCAAAATCTAAGCTGCAGCCTCAACAGCAACCTAGACCAGCAGGGAACAGATTAGCCAGTAAATATTACTGCAATCGAAAATGTAAAAACCCCAATGCTGCTACAGATAATTCATTAAATTTGAATTAAGCCTTATGGCAAAATGAAATTTACAGAAAAGCCCTATCAACGGAAGCAAAACCGGCATAAACTTAAATATAAATTAATAAATTAAAAAATATATTAAATAATATTTTCTTTATATCCTTGCTCCTCCCTCTCCTTTAGATTACTCCACAGGCACTTTGTTTTAATTGATTTCTATTACATTTTGCAAAGCATTTTTCAATGTCTACAAATTAAAGATCTATTTTTTAATATTTAAGAGAATGGGGAATCTAAACTTTGGTTCCAAGAGGATGTTAAAAAAGTATTAAAATTTCCTTCTGTACACCAGATTAATTATGAGATGCTCTTAAACTAAGTAATGGCATTTTGTTACAGGAATTTACTGATGTTAAAAGAAAGTACACCATTCTTCAAGAAAAGCTAAAAACCCAAGGACCTCCAAAGGTAACACTAGAAAAAGTGAAGCAGTTGAAAGAAGAAGCAGAAAAACTGGCTGAAGAGACTGAAAAGAAGATAAAAAGAATAACAGGTGATGTTCTCATTTCCACAGTGAGTGGTAAATACTGTATAGTCATGAATTCAAGGCTAAAGTCCTTGCCCACAGACACTAAAACACTAAGTTCACCCAAAATTAAGTTTAAAACATTTTACCTGGTGAAAACCCCTGCCTGAAGCTACTCATTTTAAAAGCAGTTGAATTGATTTGGCCTATGTACTTTTTCTGACTTAAATATATTGCTATAAGCAAAGGTTATGAACTGTCCACACAGGGACTTGCAGAGATTTTCTTCAGTTTAAAAATGGAGTTAATGCAAAAGCTGCATAAAACCTGGCTGCAGATTTATCTGGAGGCCCTGATTGATGCATTTGCTTTGGGCACTTGGACCTTCTATCCTTCCTCTATGCTCTGTCTTTCCTACATCACCCAGGCAAGGGCTGGTGTGACAGAGCTGCAGGGCAGCTGTTTTCCATCAGCCCATACTTGCTCCCCTTCAGACCTTATCTCTGAGCAATGGCAGAGCAAACCAGCTACAACCACAGCTTGTGGAGACTGCAGCTGGGGTGCCCTGAATCTGGGGCGCCATGACTATCAGGCAGAGGGGCCACAGGCACTGCAGACAGAGCTGCTGTGGCTGTCCTGGCACACAGTGCTGCTCTCACAGCTCAGGGGGTCACCAAAAAGGAGGAGCACATCTCATGTCCCTGCACACAGGGAACCTAATCCTCCTTGTAGTACAGAGCTGGGCATTCCCACTGGGAACCCTTAGGCCTAGGATCCTGCCAGGCTCAAATAAGAAAATACCATGTAACATCAGCAAAACTGAAGGAGAAACTCTATCCCAGGAGAAAACTCTTCAGGACAGGATCCAAATAAATATTTTGAGCACAGACCTTGAGGAAAAGAATTAAGATTATCCAAGTCACTCCAAATGCCTGAACAGGACATTAGAAACAGGCCTGAATCCCGTGGGTTTAACTCATGACCAATATGTTTACATTGCTGTAGCTTCACAGGAACCAGCAGAAAACAGTTACAGAAGTGAGGGAGACCTAAGCCCATCACACCCAAATTGTCTAGGCTTTACACACATCAGTGGACACACTGTTCCTCTGGGTGTTTCCATTTAAACCAAGTCCTTTAAGAGTTCCACATTCTGTCCATCCCATCCTAGCCGATGGACAAAAGCACATGCTGAGAAATTAATTTCTTCAAGGCTATCATGTTTCTCTTGCTATCCAGAAGCCAGACTTTTCCCTCCAGCTGCACATATAACATTTCCCATTCAAAATGGGCTTATTGCCTCTAAAACTTATGGAAAAAGAAATGCTGCTAATCACTGGATTTTACTTACACAACAAATGTGAGCATCATTGCTCACATCATTGCATGTCTCTGCTTTTCTAGATTTGGAGAAGAAGCTTCAGGAACTGAATCAAACCAAACAAGACAAAGCAGAGCAACTGAGACAACTAGAGGAACAAGTGATAGCCATTAAAAATGAAATCACGGAGCAGGAAAGCAAGTATGCAACATGCAAGAGTTAGGGTCTGAACAGACCATCAGGTAAAATGAAGCTGAAATCACCATGATTACCACGTCCTGAGCATCCTGGCACAGGCCACTGTCCTCTGGAAATGCATCTGAAGTGGCCTAGTGAATAATGTAATTTTACCTCTTTTTCTTTTTTTTTCTTTTGTCCAGTTGAGTTTATATGGAAATAGGAAATACCTTGTAATAAACCATCTGATTTAGTAATCAGGTGTAGTCTTTGAAGGAGCTCTACAATATACTCCTGTGCACAGTCTAGGGCTTCCTGTGGTGGAGGAGGGGGGCTGGAAATGCAAAAAGAAGACTGCTCAGAGAGCTGCTGGTAGCTGTCCCAAAGACAGACTGAAGCAGCACCCTGTGTCTTCTGCCAACCCCTACAAACCGTGGTTGTGCCACGACCCTGCACGGGGCTGCCGAGGCTCGGATGGGGCGATGCAGGTGAAACCCTGCGGCTCCTGCAGCGGGATGGTGGTGAATGGAACCCCGCGGGCTCCTGCAGCGGGATGGAGGTGA